GGGATGGCTTGAACAAATGGGAGTTTGTTCTCTTATAGTTTGGGAGGCTAGAAGTCCGAGTTCAAAGGGCCAGGCTCTAGGGGCTAGGTGAAAGCCCCTTGACCTTGGGCTTCAGCTCTGCCTTTGCTCCTGGCCCACTGAAATTGAGGCATCTCTTCACTCGGGCAGCTGCTGGCTGCTAAGGCTGACAAACCCAAGGTCAACAAATGAAAAGGCACAGTCCTGATATTACCAAACCACACAGCAGGCCATTGATTCAAGTCCATTGAAAGTACCAAGACTGGCAGAACATGGCAGGCTACTGAACAATGACTCAGCTACATGCAGGGCTCAAGTGTGCCATAAGCTGGAGACCGTCCTCAAAGTTGCTTCTTCTATACTGGAAGTAGGCCATATCCCTAAAACAGCTACCCACCTGTTCCAATAGATTCCACCATGGAGTTAATTACCAACCTCACCATGGGGAGTAACTATATCCAGCTGCCCAGCCAATCAACCAGGCCCAGCCAAGCTGACACACAAATGTAACTACCACATTACTTCACTACAGTAAAATTAAAAAATTGATTAAACCTCTGAAGTAACCTTGTAACAAAATTAATCATCTTAAAAAATAATACACATCACCCCTAAGTACCACGTTGTTGTACTTAGGTGCGGTTGAGTAGGCTCCAACTCTCAGCGACCCTATGTACAACAGAACTGCCCAGGCCTGTGCCAGCCTCACAATCCTTGCTATACCTGAGCCCACTGTGGCAGCCATTGTCAGTCCATCTCATTGAGGGCCTTCCCCTTTTTCGCTGACTCTCCAACTTTACCACGCATGATCTTCTTCTCCAAGGAATGGTCCCCTCTTACAACACAACCAAAGTAGGTGAGATGAAGTCTGGCCATTCTTGTTTCCAAGGGGCATTCTGGCTGCACCTCTTCCAGGACAGATTTGTTAGTACTTCTGGCGGTCCATGGTACTTTCAGTATTCTTCACCGATACAACTCAAAGTTACCAACCCTTCTTCGGTCTTCTTATTCACTGTCCAACTTTCACATGCATATGAAGTGACTGAAAACACCATGGCTTGGATTAGGTGCACCTTAGTCTTCAAAGTGACATCTTTGCTTTTCAGCACTTACTTAAAGAGGTCTTCTGCAGCAGATTTTCCCAGTGCAATATGTCATCTGTCAACAATTACTTTAAAACAAAGATGAGACTATAAGGGGGAAGGGAAACTAGATTAATGGAAATGGAACCACCAGAATGAAATATAAGAATGTTCATGCATCGTGAAGAATGTAACCAATGTCACTTGTGTAGAAATTGTTGAATGGAAGCCTAAACTGCTGCGTGAACTTCTACCAAAAACACAATAAAAGTTTTTTCTAAATTGTGCTTACCCTTTGTCAGTGCTGTTCTAAAGGAGCTACATCTTTTGATGTTGTGGGGGAGGCATCTGACCTCCTCTAACTATACAAGGGGGCAGAGAATCACTGTCTGCATCAATAGCCCAAGGCCGATTCCTATGAGGAGGAGGTCAGACAAGCCTCCACCCTCCAACCATTTCGGCAATTCTGACACCAACTGTCCCTTCCATGGCACTCTCTACCTCTCTGCTGGGTTCGATAATTCATTGAAATGACCATACAGAACTTACAGACAATATTCATGATTATGGGGTTTATTAGGGAAGTAACAGGTTATAACTCGGGAACAGAAATGACTCAGGATACATTTCTTCGATTAGGACAGCCTCTTCTCTGTGCCTGCACGTAGGTACACATCTCTCAGCCTCCAACTTCTTGGCCCCATGGCCCCTTGGTCTCTGCCCTGCTCCAGTACATGTTATAAAGCTCTTTTAGCTCTACCAGTAAGTGCCCAGAGGCCCCCAACTCTGCGTTGAGACCCAAAGGCACTCAGTTCCAGCTCCACCAAATACCTGGAGGTACCCCATTCCACCAACCACCCTTCTGCCTAAAGCACTCAGCTTTCTCCCTCTGTGGGCTGGGAAGTCCATCACACCATCTTCTGCCAGCTCCTGCCAGTCTCTTGGCTCTGCTGCTGCCATTTCTCTGTTGCTACTTCCCTCTCCGGTGTTACTGACTCTCTGTGTTTCTCTTCTGGATCTAGGAGGTTCTCAGAGCAAGGATCCTGGGTCCAGAGGATGCACTCTGCTCCCAGCTCTACTTTCTTGGTGGTAAGGAGAGTCCCCTCCCTGTGCTTTGGAATTGGCTTTTAGCTTAGTGGGAATGCAAAACTGACCAATTCCTTTATTAGGGCTCCATACTCCTTATCTGCATGGTCCCACCTACCCAAAGGTGTCATACACTTTATTTGTATTATTAGCAAGCTATCCAATCCCCTGGGCAGGCTGCGAGCACCTTATTTGCACAGTCCCACCCAATCTTTTGGTGGGAGTATTAAAAGTTTATGGCTAGAAGGACCATAGAAATTCACTGCACTATAATACTTATGAACTCGTTGAATCAGCTGGGCACAAGTTTGAGTTCTTGAAGACTAAGACTGTTGCCGTTAAATTGCTAGATACTCCCTTAAGACAAGGGTAGGCCTGGGGGAAATAGGGGCCATACATTCACAAACTATGTATACCTACCCAGTCCTCCTCTAGGCAGTTCACACAGCTCCCATCCATGCTCCCACCCCCACCCAGCGTGCACCCTTCTATGCTCACATTTGGAAGCCACAAGGGGCCTCCATGGATCCAGAAATGACAACTCACACACCCTGCTGGACTGGAAATAACCCAGGAGGTCTCTTCTCCCACTGGGGAGACTACCAGCCCTATGGGCAGGTAGGGGCTCTGGGCTCCATTATGACCACCCCCAGCTGGGCATGGAACTACAACCCAGAGGGCCTTGTCCCCTAATCCCCTGTAGGTGCTTGAGGAGAAGCACTAGGGACAGTGCTGTCTCACTCTCCCCACTGTCTCCTTATACACTAGTCTGTCAATGCAAGTGAGTTCTATCATTTGGGGGCCACAAGGGCCAAGAAGGGCCACTACAGTGAAAGGAGGAAGAAAAGGCTGAGGTTCAGTCTTCTTTATAGGTTCTGAAATTCCATGTCACTCTGTTTCTCTAAGGTGGTTCTACATCAGTCCCTCACACTTTAGTGTGAATTGTGTTGTCCTGTTCAAGAAGGAACTCAGCATGACAGATGATAAGGCCCAACTGAGGATGTGATGCGGAAAAGACTGCCTGTGAAGATCTTCTCCAAAATAAATGCTTTTGACTCACTTTGTCTGCTCACTTTTACTCTAAAAAAGCAGGGACCCCAGCTTATGTTAGGGCTCTAACATCTGCCCCACACTAAAGACAAATCAGCAACATTTCACATTTAGCCATTTTTAATGCTCAAAAGCTCTGTACAAAAAAAAAAAAAAATCACGAATGAATCCTCACAACACCCCTGTGAGGTAGGCAAGTAATTAGTCTCCCATTTTACAGATGGGGAAACTGAGGCAGACAGGTGAAGTGACCAGCCATTGGTCCCAGCACAGCAGAAAGTCAGGGCCAACCATGAGAGTCCCTCTCACTTCAGCCCTGTTCTCTGACCCCTCATGAAGACCTTGTCTGTGAAGAATTCAAACTGTTTAATACATGCAAAAATAACAAATCTGAAAAGGTAGTGAACATACAGTAGTTTTGCAAAAAGGATTCCACCAACATGCTCAAATATTTTCTAATAGCAGGTTGACGTGACAATTTCAGCCTTTTCAACTATCACGACCAATGATACCTCTGGTTTTCTACAGAAGCACGAGGCCAAAGAGAGGCTCCCATGGCCCTGATGAGCCCCAGCTAGGTGGACAGCTCGCTCGTTGTTCAACTCCTGTATCTCAGCTGGCACCAATCCCTAACAGAACAGCTGCCAGGCTCCGAGTGGAAGTGGTATGTGGAAGTGGTGACAGTCTCCTCACTAGGCAGTGGTTCACAACGGCCTGTAGCTCAGCAGGGCCCGACCCCTTCTGCTCCCACTAGAGGCAGCTCAGTGGTTTTCAGCAGGGACGGCCTGGGATTCAGGCAACTCTCTCATGCCACCCTCAGCCTACCCTCAAACACTATGCTATTCACTTAAGGCTGCACCACCAACAGCCCTTGAGCTCAGCAACCTCTGGGGCTCCTGCGGCAGTAGGTGGAGGCCCAGGGCCACCTTGGATTGCTGGGCAGGGAGGAGGTGCAGGTGGACATGCAGTTATAGACTTTGGCTTCCTCAGCACTTCCTGCCCAGGCTTGTCCGCTGTGTCCCATCTCTATCTGCCTTCGGGAAGCTCCTTCCCCCACCCCCCTGAGATGTTTCCTCCCCTTGCATGTTTCCAACTTCCTCGGGAAACCTCCCCAGTCTTGCCAGCCCCAGGGGAAGGGGACAGAGGAAAGGATAGAGAAGAAGCAAGGGCCTCAGCTGGCCCCATCAGGCCATGTGGCTGCTGTCCTTTGCGAACTCTCCCAGGCTGGAGATGGGACATGAGAAGCAAGAAAGCTGTGTGAAGGTGCCTTCAAAATAATAAATCTACCCAGGCAGCTGGGGACCCCAAGGACAGTGTTCAGGCAGCAAAAAGGGGAGAGAGAGGCCAAGGGGGAGTGAGGCAAGAGAGAGAAAGAGAAGGGAACTATCACTGGCCGGTGCCCACTGTGTTGTTCTCAGAGGGACGAGAAGGAGACAGAAGTGGCAATTAGCTCTTCTGGGCAATTCAGGGAGTGAGCTCCTTGGGGCCCAGGGCCCAGACATCTGCGAGGTACACACACCTTCAGGAAAGCCCGCCCACATGCCCCTGTCATTTACAAAGCATGACCTGTGTGGGACAAACGTCCCTGCAAAATGCTCTTTCAAAACAGGGGTCCAAACCCCACCCCACTTTTTCTCTGGGAAGCTGGGAAATCTTTTCCTTAAGGCCGGGACCCCTCGGGGCCACTCCTAGGGAAGAGCACCTGGGGCTCTTGGCAAGCAAAGGTGGGGGCTTGTGAGGAGCTGGGGGCAGGGAGGAGCATCCCTACAGGGAATCCCCGGCAGGGGGCTCAGTGCTTTGGCTCCACTCCTGCCATCGGTAGCGGAGCCTCGATAAGGGCTGCCTCTCCATGTCCTCGAGCTCTGGGAAGCCCAGCTGGTTGAGGATCTCGTAGATGCCAGCCTTTGAGGCCACCTGGGAGGAGAGTAGAGATGGGGCAGTGTTACAGGGAGAGGGGGTGCCTTGAGGCCCCTGTCCACTTCCCTCACGCTCTCCCTCCCTCATGATGTGCCAAGTCCTTCCAGCTCTGCAACTGGTGCAAGTTTGCTTTTAGGATTCTGTTCACTTCTCTAAGCTTCAGTTTCCTTGTAATCATGTAACAGTCTCTGCCTCCTCGGAGTGTCAGCAGGAGGGATAAACAGCATGGATTCAGGGGTATACCTTCTGTTTGGGATGGTGAAAAAGACCGAGAACCAGATAGGGGAGGTATTTCTGCAACACTGTGAACGCACTTAATGCCACTAAACTATATATTTAAAAAGATAAATTTTATGTTATTTGTGAACCACGATAAAAAATAAAATATTTATTTAAAGCATGGCTCAAGAAAACCTCACTGCTGTCGAGTCGGAGCCAACTCATAGCAACCTCTCCTTGGGTTTCCACAGCATTATCTCTATGGAAGTAGACTGCCCAACCCTCCTTCTGAGGAGTGGGTTTGAACCTCCAGCCTTCTGGTTAGCAGTCAAATGCCTTAGGCACTATGCCACCAGAACTCCTCTAAAGCATGGCTAGCACTCAGTATATAATAAGTGCTGGCTGGATATACAATGACAATCACTGTCTAGTGAGTGGCACTGGGGAGAGGATAGTAGTACCCTGCTATGGCCCCTATGCCTCCCACACTCCATCTGGCCAGAACAGAGACCTGGCTCACTCTGGGCATTCAGCTGGGCTCCTGGGGCTAGAAAAGATGGCATGGCTGCAGAAGCCACCAGAGGCTCCTGGAGTGTAGGCCAGGCTGTGAGGCCCACTGTGAACCAGAAACTCAGAGTAGGTCCTGCTTCCTGCTTCCCTGTGGCCCGGGCCCTGCCACCAGACTCAAACTATCTAACCACCAGCTCCAGCTCCCTTCTATCCTCTGCCATCTTGGGGAATGGGGAGGATGTCCACTTCTCACAGAACAAAGAGATCAATTTGTCCCTCGCCCTGTCTCCGCAAAACCTACTCTCCTGGCCAGGCCAGCAGTTCTTTCCTTCCTTGGCATCTCTCAATGCCCACCACCCAGATTTAGCTGGGAGGGGATCCAGCTTCCTCCCCAGTCCTGGCTCCCTCAGTTTCCACTCTCCAAACAGAGAGTGTCCTAGTTCCCCACCACCCCTAGCCCCACCCAGGACTCAGTGAGGAAGCTGAGCCGAAGCCTGCTCAAGAGGGTGGCACTGACACAGCCTTGGTGTGAATCTGCCTCCTGGCTCCGCACTCATCTGCACGTGAGGGGTCATTACAACTACTGTCTACTGATGTCTGAGGGCCACCCTCAAGGCTGGTCCCTAGCCGTCACCATTCCTGCCTCAACAGTGCACTAGCTTCCCTGCTTGTACACCCTACAGCCCAAAGTTTACCCCACACCTGCCTCACCCCATGCCCTTCCCTTACCACCTGGCTTGAGTCATGGCCTCCTGCTCTTCCACCACCTGTGGTCTTCCCACAGTCCCACGAGAGCTAATTCCAGCCTGGAGAATTGGGCTGGTGAGGTCAGGAAGGGCCAGCTTCCTGGTGGAGGTGTAATTACAGCTACTTTGCTGAAGCGCAAAAGGAAGGCTGTCTCCTGACTTAGAGGGGCCAAGGCGACAGCCCTGCCTCTAAAAACAGCCAAGCTGGAGGAAGAGCCAGGGGGGCCAGGGAGGGAGGAGGTACAGAGAGCAGCATCTTAAGCAAGAACATGAGAGCTTTGGAGTCAACCAACTAGCTCTAGTGCTGCCCTTGGACAAGGTATTCAATCTCTCTGTACTGAGTTTCCTCCTCTGTAAAATGGGAGAGGACCAGTTAAGTCGATTTAAAGCACATCCTTCTAGCACAGGGATTGGCAGATGGTACCGTATGTATCTCACACTGCATCCCCATCACAGCCTTTTGCAGTGGTGATAACATTACTGACATTATTCCTATTTTAAAGTTGAGGAGAGGGAGATCAGAAGGCTTAACTAACTTGTCCATGGCCACAGCTGGGTAGCAGGGGAGTCAGGGCCCTTTGCCACCAATCCACCTTGCCTCTCACTGGGCACACAGTGCCCAGGCGAGGTTGGTTCCTTTCTCCTCTTAAGTGCCATGAATCTGCACACCAGGAGGGTCTCCACTTGACACTCTGTGCTGCTCTGTTCCCAACACACCTGTCTCCTCCCTCCTCTGTAATCATTCATTTGTTTACTCACTCACTCTTCAACCCACTGACTGCCAAGCACAGACACTCAGTAAAATGGATACTTCTCCCAGAATGAGATGGGAGCTCCATCCTGGTCAACAGGCACCTTGTGAGACAATGCCCCATCTGTGCGAACCCGTCATGCCACAGCCCCTCTCACCTCCTGCATCCAGGTGCTGAAGGGCCTCTGCCAGGAATCCGCCTTCTCCAGGTGGAGGTACGCATTGAAGAGAATCAGGGAGATGTAGCGCTCCAGGTACTGCAGGCTCCTCAGCTTCAGCCTCCAAGCCTCCTGGTCAATTTTGGCTGCCTTCACCTAGAAAAAAGGACAGGTGAGAGTTAGCATGGGGAGAGTTAGAAGGGACATAGAGAACTTACAATGACACCTGCCCCCTAACATATACACATCACACACCACATCACACATCCCTCACTGCTGTCGAGTCAAATCGGACTCACAGCAACCCCTCCTTGGGTTTCTGAGGCGGTATCTCTACAGAAGTAGACTGCACAATCTTCCTTCTGAAGAGTGGCTAGTGGGTTTGAACTGCCAGCCTTCTGGTTAACAGTCAAATGCCTTAGGCACTATGCCACCAGAGCTCCCACATCACATATATACACCATACATATACACCACATACAGGAGCTCTGGTAGCATAGTGCCTAAGGCACTTGACTGCTAACCAGAAGGCTGGAGTTTCAAACCCACCAGCCACTCCTCAGAAGGAAGGTTGGGCAATCTACTTCCACAGTGATACTACCTCAGAAACCCAAGGAGGGGTAGCTATGAGTCGGGGCCGACTCAATGGCACATAACAACAACAACATACACCACATACACACATACACCATACTCGCCATATATATATATACACATATATATATATATATATGTATGTATATATATATGTATGTATATATGTATATATATATATATATATATACACACACACACACACATACATCTCTCTCACACACACTCCATACATATGCCACACACATACACCCCACACCACACATATATACCCCCCACACACAGCACTGCCCTCAGTGACAGAGGTAGGATGGGATGAACCCAATTCAGACAGCAAGGCCAAGGGTGTCACTCACCTCTGCCCAGGGGCATCGCTGGCACCTGGGCATCAGAAGCCCCCCCCCCCCACACACACACACGTGAGGCATGAACTGCCAGTTGCCAGGTCTCCCTGAGCCTCTACTTTCTCAGCATGGAACTATAACCACGGTTCCATTATCCTGTCCTGAGGGTGACTGAAATGCCAGACAAGAACGAGCTTCCCACAGCAAAGCTCCACACAGATGAGGGGGGAAGATGGCACAGGCCCCGGGACAGAAGTTCTGGCAAAGGTTTCCAAGCTCTTAATCCTAAGGAGGACCCTTACAACCAAGTCCTGTCATCCCTGAGAAGAGATGTCTTCCCCTCCACCCCCAGCCCCGCAGGACTGAGGATGGAAGCTTTCAGCTCCCCTCTCTCCCCAGCCCCCTCGGCCTTCCCCAGGGAGGGGTGTGAAGGGTCTGAATGGTGTCCTGAGAAGACCCAGGCAGTGCACCATCTCCCCTGCTCCCGCTACCCAGTCTTTGGCCTCCAACTATTCAATCTGGGCCTGGGTGGGTGAGTCCATCTCAAACTGTAAGGGGAGGGCCCCATCTTGGCCTCTGATCCTAACTGATCCCTGACTTCTTTCCTCTTTTGACATGGTTCATGACTCAGGCAGAGGGGCATGCGTACAGCTCTGTGGATATACAGAAAGGCCCGGAGGCCAAAAGCTAGCAAGAGATGAAGCAGCTCAGCAGGAGAGAGGGCTCGGGTGGGGGTGGGGGCTTACGTTATGGGGCAAAAGTCTTTTTAACAAGCTATCTTAGCAACTATAGTTGAAAATGGTACCAGGCACCTGGTGGGAGAGCAGGGACAGTGAGGCTGACTGAAGGGAAGTTTCCCAGAAAGCCTAAGAGCTCAGTGGGCACACAGCCTGGTCAGATTTAGATGGAGAGAACAGGTGACAGGAGGCAGCACAGAAGCAAGGTGGTACCTGGATGGGGGGCTATGAAGGGGCTGGCCAGGCTGGACCAAGGAGGCTGAGGGAAAAGAAGGGAAACTGGGCTGGGACCCAGTTATGGGAGGTGAGGTGATACCTGGAAGTTTATCCTTTAGGGTGAGGCCCATGCAAAATGCAGATGCCTGGACCTCACCTCAGACCAATCCAATGAGAACCTCTAAAGGGTGGCATCTCAAATATTGGATAAAACAATGCTGATCAAAAGGGGGAAATGTAGAACAGAATTTCAAATTGTCATGGAATCCAGACTTTCTGGAGCCACTGAAGATACATGAACCCCTAAAACTATTGCCCTGAGGTAATCTTTAAAACTTGAAACAAAAATATCCCCTGATTGGCAGACAATGGGCCTATAAGTTCATGT